GGCCTCAGGAAGGGGTGGGACTAGGGTGTTGGGTTTTGTGCGACTAGGAAGTTGGCAACCCTATCGGAAGCTTTTGATTCTTGCTGCTATCCAGTAAGTTGGTTGGTGATGGGAAGCTATAGCAAATGCTCTGTGTGTTTCCTTCATTTTTTATTCTCTTCTTTACTTACCAAAGTATTTCACTTTTACACTTTTCATTATCAAACTCACCCCATCTCATGTCTTACTTTTTATCTTTCCTGTCTAGACTACCTATCAATATTCACTTCGTGGTTGTGAAGGAATTAATTAAACCTGTATAACAGGGCTTTAAACTAAGCCCAACAAGTCTAATTTTCCCCAAGTGGGGGAATCCAAAGGGGTGATGTTTATTCCAAGGTAAAGCCTTCACCTTTTCACATTTTCATAATGCCTCCATGCTACCAAGCCATTACATTTGTAAACTGCTGAAGGCTTGTGTGACCTACATACAGACTGAGAATTTTTTAATTATCGTAGGAATAGAGGAATTGCTGAATCAGACCAGACTGAATCAGACCCATCTAGTCCAGTATCCCATCTCTGACAGTGACCAGCATCAAATGCTTTAGAAGAAGGCATAAGTACATCACACTTGTCAGATGTGAGGTAATCTGTCTCCAACAATTAGGTCTCATCCTGATATCTACTAATTAGAGATTCATTTAAATCCTAACGCATATGGTTTAATATCCTTTCAATAATTTTTCATAGCACTAACAATTAGAACTCTGGATGTTCTAATTAGCCCTATAAATGTCTACTCTCGTTCTGAAACCTTTTAAATTCTTGGCCTCAACATTTTCCTGTGGCAGTGGGTTCGACTATCTAATTGCATGGTGTGAAGAAGAAATATTTCCTTTTATCGGCTTTGAATTTTCCACCTGCTAATTTCATTGAATTTCCTAATTCTTGTGATAGGGAAAACATAAACTCCTTGTATCCCTTCTCCGTAGCACTCAATGTTTTGTAGACATGTCCCCTCTTAATTGGCTCCTTTCTAAGATAAACAATCCCAATCTTTTTGATTTCTCTTCATATGATTTTTCCGTGTCCCCAGCGATCCTTATTACCCTTCCCTGAACCTGACTAATTATGCAATATCCTTTTTGAGAGTGACCAGTACTGCACACAATATTCCAGCCAAGTCAAAGATTGTTCATTTCATCCTCTCCGTGCTGGAAAAAGGCCTTCGTAGTAGGATACAGGGGCCCACAAATGCAAGGATTCAAGTTACAAAAGGCTGGAAACAACAAGCTACTATACCGGAAGCTTGTGGACCATTGCTCCCTCATTGGAGGGAGCTGAGGCCGGCATTTGTGGCCAAGATGACTGGATTCAATGGAGAAGGGTGCCCGCCATCTGCCATACCAGTGCTCCCTGCTGAATGCTTAATGAAGTGGCAATGGTGTATGTCTTGAAAAAACAGTTCTCCTGCCATGTGGGCCAAAAGAATGAGCAATTGCATGTTACAGTGGGAAAAGGGCATTGCTGTGTGAAGGGGTGAAAAGGGAGAGCTATATGTTGTCCTTTATAGATCTGGTTTCACAGGCATTTGCCATTCCTGAGTAATTGCCTCAGCTAGTTTGCAGCTGACTAATATTATTTAACACAGATAAATGAGGTGATGAATTAAAAGCGCCACACAGGAATGTTTGCAACTCTTTTTTTTTTTTTTTGGTTAAGATTGGAAGGGGGGAAATCCATTTATTTTTCAGAGGTTGAGAGAACAGATGAAAAGGTTTCAGACTGTTATTTATCCACAGAGACAATGTGATTTGTCTATAGTGTTGGCCCCAGAGAGTGAGCCATGCAGAGAACGATTATAATTTAATACTGAGACCGTGAAAGGTGCATTGATTTTACAGCAGGTGAAAACAATGCAATAGTAGTATGTAGCATGAGTGGGGGGAGGCAACCATCTAATATTGGCCTAGAAGCAACAGTATAGATTTTCCATCCAACTCAGCAGAAATACTTCTTAAGGACACAGTAGTTGCATCGCTTTCAGCTTGTAGGCTTGGAGTTAGAAGTAACTGGGCCAATTTTACATTTTGCTGGGGACTAATGCAGCAGGTTGTTAATCTGCTCCTGCTGATATTTTTTGTTATGTTTCTAATTGATTGCAAGCATCTCCTCTGGATATTTGCTTCTCCTTTCCTCACTTAATAGACTTTTATGAATCTTCTGAGCATGGAAGAAACTCATTTTATGCAGCAATCCCAGCATCTTTTATCTACAAATAACTTGCATTGCTGCTAGATGAGTATCGGGGCTGGAGCATAGATTCTTCTCAGCTCTCCTTTGGTTTAATCTTATTTCTCCCTATAACTCCCTGTCCTGGGAAAGGACCACCTATTGTCGAAAATGATAGGGAATTACTTCTTCTGTTTTCATTTATGACTCAGCAAAATCAGCACTGTGTTAAATTACTTGGGATGCTTTGATGATGTGAAGTGATTTCCTGTGTGTGTGAAGTGAAGAAAGCCAAAGTCCATTACATTAGTTGATGCTCTTTGATTTGAGGTAAAGGAGCTCTTTTTGGCCCCATGTTCTAAATGCATAGATCGCTTCCATTTCCTTCAATTAAATTTCCACCAAAAATTTGATTATTGAAATATATCTGATATGGCTACCTCTCTGAGTACTTATGCCAGGAGAAGTTCTATGCTATGTGCTGCAGGCTGTTTTTACCTAAGGGTATGTCTACACTGAAAGTAGGCACCTGCATCTGGCCTGTGCCAGCTGACTTGGGCTCAGGCTAAGGAGCTGTTTAATTGCAGTGTAGAAGTTCAGGCTTGGGCTGGAGCGCGGGTTCTAGGACCTTGCGAGGTGGGAGGATCTCAGAGCTCAGGATGCAACTTGTGCCCAAACGTTTACACTGCAATTAAACAGCCTCTTAGCTTGAACCCCGCGAACCCAAGTCAGCTGCCACAGGCCAGCCACAGGTGTCTAATTGCAGTGTAGACATACCATAAGCTTTTGGCTTTTTTGCCTCCCCTCTTTTGGGGTGGGGGGGGTGTCGGAGAGATGATGAAGATAGTAGAAATAAAACTAGCCAAGTATTCTGAGAGTGGGATTGACCATTGTTCAATCCTTGGTCTAGCACTGGTCTCTAGGCATTCTATTGTCTAAAGGTGCCCTGTGAAGCAGTGATCATCAAATTCCGAAACCAGGAAACGGCTGGTGCCCCATAGGTTATGAAGGGAAGTGCCCAGTGCTAATCATCAGCCTGTGGAGAAATCTCACTGAAAGCTAAGGTCTTTTTGTTGCAAGCTTTGACAGATTGATTAATTTATTCTGTGTGAGTGGAGCTGTTTGCATCAGCTTCGTGGTTTTGGACTAAATGCTGTGCCCTGCCCATTTACCAGTGTTAGTTGGTGATCGCTGTTCAACTTTCTGTGTAGCTAATTTTGGAAGCTGTTGTTCACGTTAGCAGTTCTTTAATCATTGATGCTTAAAGGCAAGCTGAGAGACTTATATTTTTTTTTTAAAAAAAAGCCCTACAGTAGAGGGATTACTACTTTTGCAGCATGATCCTATTTTCTTAACCTTTCAGTCGGTATGATGATAAATTTTGGTTTTCTCCTTCAAGACTTCTTGGGCAAGATCTACTATAATATGGATAAAATAGAATCCAATTGGCAAAGGTATCACAGGTAATGTTCTGCTTGGAGAAGGCTTTTGTGTGTGTGGTGGGGTGTCTTGATGATTTTTGGTGAAGAAATCCTTGTTCTCTTGGCAGCAGCTGGCTGTAAATTTCAGTAAACCTTTCTTGTTGCTGTGACTCAGGATATATAGTGAAATTTTCTGTAGCTGAGGGGAGCCGGCAGTTGGGCGTCTGTTAATAGCCTGAAAGTAACTAATGAGGATGTGCAGTCGGAACGATTGATTGAATAGCTGCAGTCCTGTGTGTTTCTTTCTCGCTCTCTCTGCAAGCTGTAAAGAGGGAGGGGGAAGAGAGAGAAAACCAGCTTTCACTTAAGTGGAAGTAGCACGGATCCCAAGGGCCAAGAGGCCAGAAATGGAAGTTTAAGCTGCATCTGTCTTTTGAAAGGAAAACGGCAGGAGTCAAAATGTCAGTCTCCGAAGTCATAGTTTACTCCTTTTCTTTAAGATCCAGAAGATAACAATGGGCTTTTTCTAAGGATGTGGTTTTTCATATCCTATTGAGAATGTCTTATTTATGAAGCTGGATTCCTGTAAGTCTAGTATTTGAACTGGAGATGGGCAGCAGTTGTGATAAAGGTATTAATATGTGTGTCCGTGTGTGTGATTTTATAATGTGCATGCTGTATAAATCTATAAAATCAGATATGAGCACATCTTCTGTAAAGATTTGAGCTTGCAAGATCTGCCTGCACAGATTTAGGATGCCAAAGTCATATCTTACTAAGGTCATATTGCCAGAACAAGGAGAAACTGACCTATTTTTGTATCTGCTAAGGTATATATGTTGTTTTATCCAGGCAACTATGAGTCTTCTGATGGTCTCAAAGTTTGAGCTATCAGTAGGGTCACATTACCTGCATGAGACTGAACTTTGACCTTTGTCAAATTATGTTCAACATAGGATAAAATCGTGATCTCCCTCTGTCACAGGTTTTATTTGACAGTGTTAACTACTACATTGCTGATTTGTAAAAAGAATAGTTGAAAGTTCTCTGAGTTGTAAGTAGCAAGTGTACAAGGTAGCAATACATATGGGTATTGAGCTTCACCAATGTGTTTAATCATAACTGCCTATTGCCTATAAGATCAAATCAGATTCCTAATTTTGAGCTTGTTGCCAGTTGAAATGTCTCTGTAACTTACCTTGGTAGCAAATGAGCCATATATAAATATGTAAGTATGATTTGGCTGTTAGCTAATGCAGCTGATAGTTTGTGACGGCTTCTGTCCAGAGCAGGATAAAACCTGGGTTTTTTTATTTTTTTTTTTCCAATTCCCCTCACCCAACTTCTTTTCTTTTTCTTCTCCAGAGGTCCCAGCAGAGAGATCTCCTCGCAGACGGAGCATCTCAGGAACCAGCACATCCGAGAAAACCAACTCCATGGATGCTTCAAACACCTCTCCTTTCAAAGTCCCAGTAAGTGCGCCTTTCCTCTGAAGGAGGGATATCTTCCCATTGAATTGGGGGTGGAGTTTAGGCTATCCTAACAAATCTAGTACTCGTCTATTGATTCAGGATGACAATTTAATAGTGCAGGTGGCCAAAAGGCATGCATATCAGCTGCCATAAATGATCAGGTAACATTTTCTAGGAGACCCATAATTTACCTTTCCACAAGATTTGATCTAAAATCAGTAGTCATGTACTTTAAAACCCAACCATGGGGTGGTGAGCAGTCTAATTTCAATATGTCCTAGATACCCGTGAGATTGCTTTGTAGGCTTCACACTGGACATTTATTTTCTTCTCCAAAAAAGAACTTTAGGTTGGTGATGGCATGTGTGTTTTCCCCATATCAGTTGGAATGAATTAGGGGTCTGAAATGGCTAACACTTTATTTTAAAGCTACTGAAATGGATCTCTGCACATGTGCGTTAACTGGCCTTAATTCTTCTGGTTGTTAGTTTCAGTTTACCTTTCCAAGTATGGAGTGTGGATTTTCTTGCCAACATCTTTAGAATCCAGTTGCTGTACTAAAACCTACAGCACTAAGGCTTTTCTATTGTTCTTCTTAGTCTGAAAGAAGAAAGGTCTGTCAAATCATAAGTCAAGTTAAAATGAAGTGCTCTTTAATATTTTACCAATAGTTAGACTTGGTTTAAAAAAGGCAAAGTCCAGATGTATTATTATAGAGATTTTTTATGTTCCTCTCCACTGTGTGTAAGAACTCTTGAAAGCTTGAAAATGTTTGTCCACACAATTTTTGGCCTTTTTTATGTGTGATGAGCACTGATTTCTCTTCCTGTGTTCTCTGTGGAGTTGAGGCCAGTATAGCTGCATTTTATTTGTGTTCACCCCATAACCTCCAAATCACTGAAAGTCACCCAGAATACTCACAACCCTGGGAAGAATAGTTTTTAGCTAACTTCAGATACAGACATGTTTACGTGCTTGTTTTGTGATGAATCCCCACAAAATTCTCCCTTGTCTTTTTAATGTATAAATAAGTGGTGGATTCTTTAATTTTACAATCGATATTTTGCCAGTATGAAGGTGGATTCAATTTTATTAAAGTTAATTTAATCTGAGCCCGATCATAAACTCCAAATTAATTGGTTTCAGAGTAACAGCCGTGTTAGTCTGTATTCGCAAAAAGAAAAGGAGTACTTGTGGCACCTTAGAGACTAACCAATTTATTTGAGCATAAGCTTTCGTGAGCTACAGTAAGCCATACTACATACTAAGCCACAGTATGCATCCGATGAAGTGAGCTGTAGCTCACAAAAGCTTATGCTCAAACAAATTGGTTAGTCTCTAAGGTGCCACAAGTACTCCTTTTCTTTTTTCCAAATTAATTGGGATTTAAAAGAAAAAAGTTGCTGGTCAAGTTAATGGTAGCTCCATCTTGGACTGTTTTCCTGTCCTCTTTCAGATTAAACTATCAGTGGTAAATACAGGGAGATCACTATCTTGGAGTAGTTACCTGTGCTCGATTCCTGTGTTTTTCTCAAAGCCTCATAATGAGACCAAAAGTTGAACTTCTGGTATCTGTTGGGGGACCACCAAAATGCGCTTTCCTTGTTTTAAAGACCATCTGAAGTAAATACTCATACTGAGACTATTTTGGTAGTCTTAATATGCTGTGTTCTAAAGGGCACTCAAAAATAGGTTTTTAGTCTAATTACAGAATGTACTAGTTATAACTTTATAAAATCTCAAAACTTGTCTATATGCAATGAATCCTTATAGTATAACCATGGGCAGCAGAGTACATATGGGTACCATGAGGATTTTTGGGAGCTTTTGTAAGTCCTAGCAACTCTTACCCAACCCATCTGTATTGATAAGAAATGCCATTAGTCTTACAGATGTTTGAATGTATTGTGGTGTTCTGTGTCTACAGCTTATCTATAAATCACAAACAAGATTTGAAGACGCCATGTACCAAATCACTTAATGTCAGCCTGGGTTTTTTGTTTTTCATTTCCGTACCTTTCACTCTTTACTATCCCTCTCAAATGTCTTTTCTTCAGCTGCTTTATATTGTCTGTGAATTTAGGTCGTTAACACTTTAAAAGTGTTTCTTTTCACTTATGTTTTCTTCTTCAGCACTCCCCCTTCCTTCCTGTGTCTCGTCTTTTCCAAGTTATTTTTTCTTCTAATGCTTCTTTGGGTACTGTCTTATTTTCCTCTTTCCTCCTTGCAATTTTAATGGGGCTATAAGAACTCTGAGGCAAAGAGGTGCAGGAAGCTGTCCACACCCTCTCCTTTTGGTCATAAACAGCAAAAAGTAGCTATTGTTACCACTTGTGCAGCTGGTCTTGTGCTCCCCTGTTCTGCTGACCACCTGTGTAATGGTGGGCCTGCTGTATCCTCCTGATTTGTACATAAAAGACAAGACTACTGGCTTTTGTAGGTTTTTCTCTGCATATGCTATCTCGTGTGCTGTGGTTGTTACCAGGCCACAGTAAAGATGAGATGAGACCTACCTGTGTTTCACACCAAATGCTGGATGTTGCAGCCCTCTAATCTCATTAGGTTAGTGGCTTGCAGGTAAAAGTCAGAGCATTTATGAGTAGAGCTGGGCCCAAACCAAAACTACTGAATTCAAACATGCTTCTAACTTTGTGGATTAGATCCAGCTCTACTTATGAATAGAAAACCCCTCTTGTATATTCTCTTGATTCATATTAAGTTTTTTCTGGATCCAGGAGGGATTGATCTAAGGAGAGGGGTAAATGGCACAAGTATAGGTAAGCCCAATATCAGTGGTTTGGGAATGGAAGGTGTGGCTCTAATAGCATTAAAAGTTATTTGTGGGGTTTTCTTCATCTCAGTGGGTGCCCATTTTAGACAGGAAGAACACAGAAATAGGAAAGCACCTGGTTTTGTTCTTCAGTCATTGATACTTGCACTGCACATTTGAGGGGGCAAACCAGCAATCTGTGCATTGTGCTGTTTCAATGACTCTTTGCTCCCGGCTTTGGGGGGAGGGAAGAGGCAGAGCAGGCAGGGTTATGCCAAGATTTTGAAAATAAGTTGCATTTACAGCTTTCTAAGCTTCTGTTCTCTCAGGTAAGCATTTAAAACTCTTACTCTTGATAGAATGTACTGGAAATCAATGTTCTGTGCAGCTTTTCCCCTAAACTCCAAACAGTGGTATACAAACAGCAAAAGGCATCGACTCTCTGACTGTTAATGTGCCTTTGTCCAGTGCTTGGAGTTTTGATTTACAAATGCATAATGTGGGGTAAGTGAACATTCTTTTAAATAATCTCTTCTGTCGTGGTCATTGGAAATGATCTTATTTAAAGGGTTGGCATGTAAACTTCAGGAAATTCAGTTTCTCTGCCTCCTACATATAAGTTTAAAAGCATATTCTTCTATTTAAACTTACTATTCTATAATCTCAATAATTATGCATACTCATTCTTTGGTTTACCATGTCACAGTCAGCCTATGCTGACCAATATATGGAATGTGGTTGTCTTACTTATCTCCCACAAAAGGGAGTGAAGTAGGATTTTGCTGATATTGGCAGTGCACTACGGAAGGGATAAGGAATGGCTTGTGTATAGAGATAAGAACTGTTAGTGCTTGGCCTTTTCTTCATTCCCCAACCCCCAGCTACATTAGTGTTAGGTTACTTCAGTTTCCCCCTAGATTCAGTAGTGTTACTTCTCACTCCACAATTGCCAAACATATTTTTGGGGGGGAAGCAGGGGTGAAAGTAAGTTGAGTGACTTACCGGTACTCTGGGGCCAGCTCTGGCCCCCGGAAGGGGTGGGGCCTAGGATGGAAGGGGCGGGTTGAGGGGGTCAGAGCCAGCCCCAGCCCACCCTGTAAGATAAGTGCCCCCCACACACACACACTGGGGTAGCAGCAGCAGCCTGGGGCTCCGGGGGCTATGTAAAGGGCCCGGGGCTTCCCTCTTCTACCGCCCTGGCCCTTTAAATAGCTGCCAGAGCCCTGGGGAAGCAGCGGGGCTCCAGCGGCTATTTAAAGGACTGGGGCGGCAGAGGCAGCTGGAGCCCCAGCCCTTTAAATAGCCCCCGGAGCCTCCGCTACCCCAGGGCTCCAGGGGCTATTTAAAGGGCCTACGGCTCCCCTGCTTCTACCGCCCCTGTCCTTTAAATAGCCGCCGGAGCCCTGCAGCCGGTACCCCAGGGCTCCAGCAATGGGGCTCTGGAGACAATTTAAAGGGCCTGGGGCTCCAGCCACTGCTGGGAGTCCCAGGCCCTTTAAATTGCCCCCTGGGGAAGCCGGGCTGCCCCAGTGCGGTGCACCGGCTATTGCCGGTACGCCGTACTGGGGCGTACCAGCTTACTTTCACCTCTGGGGGGAAGGTTAGGCACAAAACATTGGGGGGAAAAAAACCCCACAGCTTTAAAAAAAAAAAAAAAAAAAATGACTGAACATTACTGCTGAGAAGTTAGAAAGACTGATAGAACTCATCCACCACCGGGCGTGGTGGTAGATGAGTAGGCGAAATACCAGCTTTCCCCTCCTACACACTCACTGTGCTCTGTCAGTGCAACTCAGTCTTACAGTAGCACATCTCCTGATATTTCATTATTGAGCCATTGTACCACTCTGACAGAACACCACAATCCCCTCCTTGCTACTCCATTTGAATTGGCGATTAGGCTAAAACATGAGAATTCCAAAATACTGAACCTCCAGAAGTGACAGAACAAAGGTCTTAGTAACCCATTGTAAAAAACAAACAAACAAAAAACCAGGTCCTTAACCACCACCTCACCTTTTTTGACTAGTTTTGTTGATTTATTAAAATCAATACAGATATTATGTGACTCAGTGATGTACATGGGCACTTAAAAAAAAATAGAGGAAAGAAACAGACTGGATGAAACACATAAAAATGAGCTAAAAAGGTCAGGGTGTAGGCTCTGAAGTAAGTGAAATGATTTGTATGGAAACCCTGTGTGAATAGTGATGGAAAGGCTGATTCTTAG